GGATCGGGGCCGGCGGCTGGGGTGTCCGGCTTCACCGACCCTGGGGACCTGGGGCGGGTGGGCTCGGGGACCCCGGAGTCACAGCGCACGCCTCCCCGGGTCCTGCAGGGGGGTCGGGGCCCGGAGCGAGGGCCGAACCCCAGCGCCCCGCGGCTCGGACGGCGTCGCCTTCACAGCTCGTCCAAGATCTCCGCGGAACCCTGCTGAGGGGCCTAACTCGCGTCCACGCCTCCGACACCGATCTCTCCCCGATTCCGGGGCTCCCGTGCTCTCTAGATCCGGCCCCCACTCGGGAGGCGCATCGCCCTGGGGAATCTAAGCCGCCGGCCCACCCATCCGGCGCATCCACGAGATCTTTTCTGGATTTATTCAGATGTAGCAGTCCTACTTGGATTGCAACAGAGATTTTCCTTTGATTTTTTTTTTTTACATTGGTGGTTTTTGGTGTTTTTTTTTTTGTTTTTTTTTTTTTTGGTACAGGTCCTGGGGGCGGAACTCAAAGCCTAGGTCTGCCGCTGAGCTTCCATTTACTCAAGGCTAGCACTCTACCACTTTGAGCCACAGTCTGGCATTTATTTATTTATTTGGTAGTTTAGTGGAGATAAGAGTCTCCGGAATTTTCCTGCCTGGGCTGGCTTTGAACCGTGATCCTCACATCTCAGCCTCTTGAGTAGCTAGGATTACAGGACTCAGCCTCTGGTGCTCAGCTTTGCTTTTGTGTTTTTGAGGCACAGCCTCACATGTAGCCCAGGTTAGTTTACAGCGTGCCCTCCTCCTTCCTTAGCCTCCCCAAGAGCTGGAATTATGCCATTTGGGAGGTGGGGGTCAGTTGTGGGGCTTGAATTCTGGGCCTGGGCCCTTCAGATCAAGGCTAGCGCTCTGCCACTTGACCCACAGCCCCACTCGCGGTTTCCTGGTGGTTTATTGGAAATCAGTCTCACGGACTTTCCTGCCCGGGCTGGCTTTGAGATCTCAGCCTCTTAAGTAGCTAAGATTGTAGACAATAAGCCACTGGCACCCAGCGTGTATCTTTTTTTATTTTGCCAGTCCTGGGACTTGAACTCAGAACCTGGACACTGTCCCTGAAATTCTTTTGCTCAAAGCTAGTACTCTACCACTTGAGCCACAGTGCTACTTCTGGTTTTTTCTGTTTACTTAGTACTGAGGAATCAAAGCCAGGACTTCATGCATGTTAGGCAAACACTTTACCAGTAAGCCACATTTCCAGCCTGAGCAAATTTTTAATTAAGCATTTACCTTGGGGTAGGTATCTGGGTAACTTGGACTTCAGCAGAGGAATCAAATAGTGGTGAAGAATCAAACTTTTGTGGGCATTATATTTTTGTGAGGAACAGTCACTTCAAACAAAAGCATTCTGCACATATTCAAATACATGTGATGGGAGAAAAAAAAAAACTAAAGGTAAGGAGACTGATAGGGCAAGAGAAAAAATAGAATTGAAGTAGGAGAGCCTCACTGAGAGGCCTGTAAGACTAAGAAGGTGAGGAGTTGACATTGCAGGTATCATCTGGTAAGTGTTCTAGGCCCAGCTGGAACAAGTCTAGTATAGTTTGAATGTGATTTCTCCATTTTGTGTGTATGTGGGTGTTGTATACTTTGTCCCCAGTGCTTCAGTGTTGAGAGGTAGGACCTGGGGAGGTGATTGGGGTATGAGGGCTCTGCTGTGATGTACAGATTGGTCCACTCACGGATTAAGGAGTTATTTGGGGAGTGACTTTGTTATAAAGCTTATGGCAAGCTTTCTGAGGCATGCTTGCTCTGTGTCTGGCATATGTCCATGTTCCTGGACTTCCCCAGACTTGAGGACTGTGAGCTGAATAAGCGTCTGTTCTTTGTAAATTGCCCATGCTGTAGCATTCAGTTGTAGCAGCAGAAAACAAAGATAATCGATCCATTGTATGTTATGTGGGGGGTATGAAGGCCAGTGTGAGTGGAGGTAAGTGGCCAAACATAAGAGGAGGAGGAGAGTGAGTGCTCAGTGTTTTTGTAAAGTTTTGAGGAAACAAAGTATGATTTTGAATGCTGTTATAGGTCCAAATGACCTATTTATTTATGCTTGAACTCTTTGGCTTCGCTCATCTAAGCCACGCTCCCAACTTCCAGCTTTTGCTGGTTAGTTGGAAATAAGAATCTTGAGGCTAGGCTGGGCATGGTAGCTCACGCCTCTAATCCTAGCTACTCAGAAGGCTGAGATCTGAAGATCAGGTTCAAAGCCAGCCCAGACAAGAAAGTCTGTGAGACTCTTATCTCCAATAAACCACCAGAACCAGAAGTGGCACTATGGGTCAAGTAATAGAGCGCTAGTCTTGAGCTGAAGAGCAAAGGGACATTGTCTAGGCCCAGAGTTGAAGCCCCACGACCAGCCAGAAAAGAAAAAAAAATCTTCAGGAGAATATGGCTTAGTGGTAGAGTGCTTGCCTAACATGCATGAAGCCCTGGGTTCAGTTCCTCAGTACCACATAAACAGAAAAGGCCAGAAGTGGCACTGTGGCTCAAGTGGTAGAGCGCTTGCTTGAGCTGAAGAGCTGAGGGACAGCGCCCAAGCCCAGAGTTCAGGCCCCACGAAAGGACCCCCCCCCATAAAAAAAGATTGAGAGAACACTGCACTTAAGCTTTCTGACATACTTAAGTGGTCCACAAGAGAGAGAAAGTAGATGGGCTGGGAAGTTGGCTCAGTGGTAGAGCGCTTGCCTTGCATGCATGAGGCCCTGGGTTTGATTCCTCAGCACCACATAAGCAAAAAGAAAAAAAGCCGGAAGTGGCGCTGTGGCTCAAGTGGTAGAGTGCTAGCCTTGAGCTGAAGAGTTGAGGGACAGTGCCCAGGCCCAGAGTTCAGGCCCCATGACCGGACCCCAAAAAAATAAAAAGGAAAGAGAAAGAAGAAAAGAAAATTATCTTGGGGATTTGTTGCCAGAGCTAGCTTTGAATCAAGATCCTCAGGTCTCAGCCTCCTGAGTAGCTAGGATTATAGGTGTGAGCCACAATGCTCAACTAAAGCTAGGACTGTTTCCCAAGATTGCATGCACTCAGGACTGACAGAAGAGGCTTAGCTTCTGCCTCTGGCCATGGCATTTCCTTCCCCTGGGTGTCTCTTATTTTGGGGTGGTCCTCCCTCTCACTCCCCTGCCGCTGAAACACTCCGTTCTTTCTAGTATTACAGCTGATGAAGTTAGCTTTGTTCAAGAAAAAAAAATTACTATGGAAATTAGGAATATTTGTAAAGTCTACAAACTCCCAAAATAGGCCTTTTTTGTTTCTTTTTCACAGCTGAGTATCAAATCCAGGGCCACACACATGCTAAGCCAGCACTCTGCCGCTGAGCTATATTGCTAGCAAGAGATAAGCTCTTTTCTTTGTCCTTGATTCTATAAAATTAAATGATTTCTTTGAATAAATTTTGTTCAGTCTATTGAATTAGAATGTATATATATGTATATATGCGTGCGTATATACATATATGTAACTTGTTGCAGCATTTCTCTTGAACATGATTCAGGTAGCTTCTAGTTATTTTAAAGTACTCTAAATTTTTAAGGCATTTTAAAATTATTTCAACAGCAACACAAAAAGATTTAGACTGGGACCACACAAGAGTTGTAGAATAAGAATTGAGCTGTGTTGTCTGTTCATGTACACAGGAAAATAAGGAAGTAGTGTGTGCAAAACATAATTGTTATCAACTATGTGGTTGATGGAAAGTAGGAAGGGAAAAAATAGTAAAAGTTATTACCAAAGACATCAGTTCTTAAAGTATAATGGACACAGCTGGACGCCAGTGGCTCACACCTGTAATCCTAACTACTCAGGAGGCTGAGATCTCAGGATCACGATTCAAAGCTAGCCTGGGCAGGAAAGGCTGAGAGACTTTTTTTTTGGGGGGGGAGGGTCTGGTCATGGGGCTTGAACTCTGGGCCTGGGCACTGTCCCTCAGCTCTTCAGCTCAAGGCTAGCACTACCACTTGAGCCACAGCACCACTTCCGGCTTTTTTTCTTTTTGCTTATGTGGTGCTGAGGAATCGAACCCAGGGCCTCAGGCATGCAAGGCAAGCTCTCTACCACTGAGCCACCTTCCCAGGCCTGCTGAGAGACTCTTATCTCCAATAAACCACTCAAAAACTGGAAGTGGTGCTGTGAGTCAAGTGGCAGAATGCTAGCCTTGAGCTAAAGAGCTCAGGGACAGCACCAAGGCCCAGAGTTCAAGTCCCACAACCAAAAAAAGAAAAAATAAAAGTTTTAATCAGTGCAGTCATATTAAGGGTACATTATATAAAAGGTGAACTGAGTAACTTGAGGGTGGGGTTGGAATGGGGAAATAGAGAATGATGGAAGGGGTGACATTAAGAAGCAGTATTCTCATAGCCAGACATATGGAATTGAAACCTTTGTACAACCACTATTCATTGGCTTTTGAAATCAGTGCCTTAGTACCTCCAGAAGTGATTGCCTAATTTGTTTATCTTTATTTTTTCCAGTCCTGGCGTTTGAACTCAGCGCCTGGCCACTGTGCCTGAGTTTCTTTTGTTCAAGGCTAGCACTCTAACACGAGCCACAGTGCCACTTCCAGCTTTTTCTGTGTATGTGCTACTGAGGAATCGAACCCAGGGCTTCATGCTTGCTAGCAAGCACTATACCAGTAAGCCTCATTCCCAGCCCTAATTGCCTAAATTTTGTGCCTCAGGTCCCTTCCTCTCTGCTAAAGGCTCTGTTCAGCAGTGGGAAGGAGACTTAAAAGGAGACAAATGATCTGATGGAATTCTTTATTGCTGACTTATTTGCTGGGGTTGGAGGTTGCAAGGACGTTTAGATTCACTGAATTTCTGAAGTCATGATCTGCCATCCTCGGACTGGCAGTGTCACTGTGGCAAGGATAGAGTGTGTTCCAGAAACAATTTTTCTGTCTTTCATCACTGAAATTACTGTTAGCCATTTTTCTTTCAGTAACAATCTGAACTCAGTTAACAGAAGCAAAACCATTTTTTCCACACATACTTGTACCCTCTGGACCCTCATGACAACCCTCTGAGCTAAGCCTTTACATTTGTAGCAAGGAGGCAGCATGGCATGGTGTGAGGCTCTGGCCCTGTATCTTGCTGATACAGCCTGGTATAGGGGAGCATAAAGTCCAGTGTAACAGCAGAGGGCTTGTGGCACGTATGGTTGTAAGGATAATCTGACACTGAATTATTGTCTGTTTCAGGTCTTATGCAGCATGGCTGTGACAGGTGTCCGATTGCTCAGTGGTGCTCTAAGGAAGTCAGACACCTGGATCCGACTGTGGGGTGTGCTTCAAGGAACACCTTCACACAGACTGTATGTTTCCTGGAACCAGCACTTATATCTCTCTAGCACCAAGTTAAATGCACCATATTATAACACACTTTCCCAACATAGTTTTTCTCTCAGACTTCCTGGGCTTTTAGTATCTCCAGAACATATTCCATGTTCTATAAGACTCAAAAGCAATATAAGCTCTAAGAAATCTGCTAAAAAGACTCTGCAAAAAGCAGATGAGGCGGACTCTGATGATGAGGGTGCTCCCAGCGAGAGGAGTGAGCAGGAAGAGGAGCTTGAGGAGGACCCCAGTGTGCCCAAAGACTACAAAGACCTGGACAAAGTCGTGCAGTCTTTTCGGTATGATGTCATCCTGAAGACTGGCCTTGATATTGGGAGAAAGTGAGTATGGTGTGTTTCATTGTGAACTCACTGGTCTGCTTATTTTAATGCATCACTACAAATCATTCAACCCTTATGACAGTAAGGAATAACCACAGATATGAAAGGGCTGTGTGAAAATTTACTTCAGTTATTTCATTGTCTAGATGAAAAAACTGATCCCCATAGGCCATATTTCCTTTGGTTCTAAGACACAGTTGAGTATCTGATGAGTCATTGATTTAGTGTGTGTGTGTGTGTGTGTGTGTGTGTGTGTGTGTTGGATAGAACCAGGACACTAAGAAAAAGAATCACATATTACATATACTACATTTATATATATATATATATATCAGGTGAAAAAGCACTTGGATTTCACAAATACTTCAGTGTGAGAAGGTATCTTCCAAGGTCAACAAGAGAAATAGAAGGTAGTGGTTAAGAAGGCAGATTCTTTTTTCTGGCAGCATTGGACTTTGAATTCAAGGCCTTGCAGTTGCTAGGCAGGCACTCTATCATTTTACTCATACCTCCAGCTCTGTTTGCTTTACACTGTTTTTTTCTTTTCTTTTTCTTGCCAGTCCTGGGGCTTGAACTCAAGGCCTAAATACTATCCCTGAGCTTCTTTGGCTCAAGCCTAGCACTCTCCCACTTGAGCCATAGCTTCACTTCTGGCTTTTTTTGCTTATGTGGTACTGAGGAATCAAATCTAGGGCTTCATGCATGCTAGGTAAAGCACTCTACCACAAAGCCACATTCCCATCCCCAGGGACTGATCATTTGGTCTGTGCTTCCCTCCCTCCTGGGTAGCTGGGATCATAACTATGCACAACCACTGTGCTTGTGCCTGGCCGTTTTTGGTTTTGGTTTTGGTTTTTTTTTTGGTGTCCATATGGGGGCTTGAATTCAGGACTTCATGCTTTTGCTCAGCTTTTCTTTGTTTTTCTAAATTAATTTTACTGTTTTTTTCCTCTTAATTTTCTTCCTTTATGCTTTATTTATTTACTTATTTTTGCCAGTGTTGGAGCTTAAACTCAGGGCCTGGACCCTGTCATTGAATCTCTCTGTGCTCAAGACTAATGATCTACCACTTGAGCCATACAGCCACTTCTGGGTTTTTCTGTTTATGTGGTATTGAGTAATGGAACCCAGGGCTTCATGCATGCTAGGTAAGCATTCTACCACTAAGCCACATTCCCAGTCATTATTTAATTTTTGGTTATATGGTACCAAGGAATCAAACCCTTTTACTGAGGAATCAAACCCAGGGCTTCATGTGTGCTTGGCAAGCATTCTACCACTAAACCACATTCTCAACCTTTTCTTTTTCTGTTTGGTGTTGGTCTCAAGGCTGGTGCTCTACCTTTTAAGCCACAACTCCACTTCTGGCTTCTTTTTATGCTTTTTATTTTTTTGCCAGTCTTGGGGCTTGAACTCAGAACCAGGCGCTGTCCCTCAGCTTCTCTTTTCAAGGCTGGTACTCTACCACTTGAGCCACAGCACACTTGAGCCACAGCACCACTTCTGGCTTTTTCTCTTTATGTGGTACTGAGGAATTGAACCCAGGCTTCATGCATGCTAGGCAAACACTCTACCACTAACCTACATTCCCCGCCCTTCTTTTGCTGCTTAACTGGAGATAAGAGTCTTATTTCATAGACTTTCCTTCCTGGGATGGCTTTGAACCATGATCCTCCAAGACTCACTATCTGATTTTATTGTTCTTTTGCTCTTTTTTATTTTTTCTTTCAATCCTCAGGCTTGCACTCAGGGCCTACGCACTGTCCCTGAGCTTCTTTGCTCAAGGCTAGTGCTCTACCACTTGAGCCACAGCACCACTTCCAGCTTTTTCTGTTTATATGGTACTGAAGAATGCAATCCAGGGCTTCATACAAGCCAGGCAAGCAAACACTCTACCACTAAGCCACATTCCCAGCCTTGAATATATTTCTGTATTGGTTTTGTTTTTGTTTTTTGGTCAGTCATGGGGCTTGAACTGTAGGTCTGGGTGCTGTCCTTGAGCTGTTCAGCTCAAGGCTAGAGCTCTAGCACTTGAGCCACAGTGCCACTCTGGCTTTTTCTGTATATGTGGTACTGAGGGACTCAAACCCAGGGCTTCATGCATGCAAGGCAAGCACTCTACCGCTGAGCCACCTTCCCAGCCCCTATATTCCTGTATTTTAAAATGCTTTTCTTTTTTTTTTTGAATAGCAAAGTAGAAGATGCATTCTACAAAGGTGAACTGAGACTGAATGGGGAAAAGTTATGGAAGAAAAGCAGAACGGTGAGAAATTAAACATATAATGAGAGCCAGATAGTTTTGGTTTCTGTCTGCACTCTGTGGTGCATCAGAAATTCCATTCTCCCTGGCCCTGGCCCATCTGACGGAATCTGACAGCAGGCTTTATCACAGGCCACTTTCTCCTTTGCACCCTTAATGACCCTGTGATGAAGAAGTCTTTGGCATAAGCCACTTTGGGGACTGGCAAAAATCTATTAATGTCCTCCATGGAATCGCAGATTACAAGGAAGTATTTGACATGTACAGGTATTACCGGAGCAGATGTGTGACTCTGTTCATTTCAGCAGTATTCATGAGCACCGGCTGAGGTATTTCTTTGCGTGCAGGGAAACATGCATAAAAATCTACTTTCTGACAGGTCCAGGTCAATAACAATTGAGAAAAATAAGTTTCTTACAAAGAAGTGTATTTCCAGGAAGTGACACTGGCTTAAGTGGTAGAGCACTAGCCTGGAGCACAGAGAGGCTCTGGGACAGAGCCCAGACCCTGAATTCAAGCCCCAGGACCAGGGGGAAAAGAGAGAGAAAGAGAAAGGTATAAAGAAGTTATTTCCAGTATCCACGTATCCACTTTGGCAACACCAAAGGTTGAGGGAAAGTTTTATTGTTTGTAAAAAGAAAACGATATTGGAATGGATATTGGAAGTGCCTTATTTTCTTTTTTTCTGTTGAAGATATTTTTAGCCAGGTGCCATTGACTCATGCGTGTAATCCTAGTTACTCAGGAGGCTGAGAACTGGAGGATTAAAATTTGAGGCCAGGGCTAGGAGTTTGGCTTAGTGGTAGAGTGCTTGCCTAGCATGATGAAGCCCTGGGTTCAATTCCTCAGTCCCACATAAACAAAAAAAAGCCAGAAGTGGCACTATGGTTCAAGTGATAGAATGCTAGCCTAGAGCAAAAAGAAGTTCAGGGACATGCTGGTGCCGGTGGCTCACACCTGTAATCCTAGCTCTCAGGAGGCTAAGATTTGAGGATCATGGTTCAAAGCCAGCCCAGGCAGTAAAGTCTGTAAGACTCTTATCTCCAATAAACTTCCAGAAAACTGAAGTGGCGCTGTGGCTCAAAGTGGTAGAGCATTAGCCTTGAGTGAAAAAGTTCAGAAACAGTACCTAGCCCTGAGTTCAAGCCCCATAACCACCACCAACAACAGAAAGTTTGGCAGCATCAGACTTACGATACTAGAAGGCATTTCTTGATCAGTGTTGTAATAAGCAATGTTCTAGAGAGGCTAGACACCCTTTTTGAGATTTTTTTCTTTAATATTTCAGATTTTCTTTGGGGTTGGAGGACCTGAGCCATCTCTTGTTGCTCTGGTCCATAGACAGTGATGCTGTCCTATGGGGGGGTGGGGGGAGGGAAGGAAGCATTCCTTCAGTTTGCTCCCCTGTTCAAAGGTATTTGCAGCTGGTTTCATGCACAGAAAGAGTGGGACACATTCCCCCCATGATTCTCAGCCCTCAGCCCCCAGGTCCATCCCTCTGGACAGCCTTGAGCTGACAAGCTCAGACTGCTCTGTCAGCCATTGTTCAGTGAGCTGCACAAAACCAGATAGGCCCTTCTCTGCCCTTAATTGCTTTCTCCTGCTTGTAGCCTGGCCCCCTTTCCTCAGCCCCAGTCTTCTAAGGGCAAGATGTGTTCTTAGAATAAGAAATGATTACTCCCAGAACACCTTGCCTCTCTGCTGGGACCTCATTTATAAACCCAAAAGCCCATTTTTCTCCCCCTGCTTTGAGATATTGTTAACTACAGTCTAATTGCTACTGCTTATTCTGCCTTGGGTGTTTTGTTGTCTCGGCTGCCATCCAGATTTCTCCTGAGGGTCAGCAAAGGCAGAGGCCAGCATTAACACGCAGCTGCCTCGTTACTAGGAGGCCCGGTAGCCATAGAAACTGCAGCTAAGGGGAGATTTGAAATGTAGATATTTGGAACAGCCACTAATCCCAGCCAGGTTTGCTTTGTGTCTGCTAAAGGACAGTGTCTCGGAGGGGAATAAAGAACGCCTCGCCTTCCTTGGCCTGCTCCATGGAGCCCGCGCCTGCCTCTGGCCCTGGAGGGTCAGGCACTGTCTGATGCTGCAGCTCCAGCCCTGGCTACCTCCAGCTGTAAAAGCTTTTCTGTGCTCTGTGAACCAGGTGGGGCCCATGCTACCGAAGCTGCCAGCCATTTGTTAACCTCCAGGTGGGGTGAGGAGCCATGTGTGAGCCAGTCCTTCCTGAACTCCCCTCTCCCTGAGCTGAGCTGCGCAAAGGAGGTACCTGCCTAGTACCTGCCCCTTAAACAGCCGAACAGCCCACTCGCTGCCCTTTTAAGGGTGGAACTCTGTCTGTAAAAGGTACACAAGAAGGGTTGCCTTTTCTGCATTGTGTGTGGTATGTGTATGTTACCTATTAGAATGAATTTTACTAAGATTGTGCTCAAAAGTCTCACTTGCTAAGTAGGTACTTTACCTCTTAAGCTGCTCCATGAGCCTTTTTTTGTGTATTACTTTCTTTTTTTTGG